GATCATGCTTTTTAACAGGAAAAATGGCTTCAGTCCACAATTAGGCATGGCTCTGATTTGTCATGAGGAATTTAATGGTGACTCTCCAGGAGGATCTAGGAGAGTAAAGAGAAAGGGGGTGAGAGTACGAGACACCTGAATAGTCTAGAAATAATTTTTAAAATCTCTGATCAGCAGAAACTAGCTAAGGCAGAGTATCATTTGCTAGCTAAACAGTATTTGCTTAACAAGACACTTTTCTGTGCACATTACTGCTATTAAGTAATCAATACGCCTGGGTGCAGGGCTACCCACAATTTATTGTTCCTCCCCCTGCTTTGCTCTGACTCAGCACTGAACCTGTATGATTGCGCAGGTATTACCCAGGCAGCTAGAAAGTTTCTTGTGATAAATAGCAGTGTTGCCAAGGAAAAAAAAAAATCAGCCAGGCATATTTTTCTCTTTCTGACTCTTACAAGGTTGTTTTTCTTCTATTTAACTAGAACTGCAGACTGGTTCTTCTCTGCAGTTCAACTCTTCGCACCACCTACTGCCTTCAGCAACCTGTCTAACAGACAATTCATCTTTCAGCACGTTCACACCTGCACAATTACCATAAGAGGAAGAAATCTCCTCTATTCTACAGCAAACAATGCAAAGGATTGCATTTACCTTTCTGCTCTAAACCAGAAAACAGTTGCTTTCAGAGTGACTGCCTTCCCCACGTCTCGGGGCAGGAAAAGTTTGTGTTGCACGAAGGCGACCATGTGCTGTTGGTCCCCACAGCCAGTTAGTTAATCGAGCTGTGACAGTCCTGCCCTAGAAATCCAGTTTTCCTCAAACAGATTCTAAACCATAGCACATTTTCCACTGCAAAAGAAGTAAATTTTAAAGCCCTAAAATCATAGAATCATAGGTTGGAAAAGACTTCTAAGATCATCAAGGCCAGCTGTCACCCCAACACCACCATGCCTGCTAAACCATGTCCCGAAGTGCCACATCTACACGTTTTCTGAACACCTCCAGGGATGGGGACTCCACCACCTCTCGGGTCAGCCTGTTCCAATCCCTGGCCACTCTTTCAGTAAAGAAATTTTTCCAATTATCCAACCAAAACCCCCCCGACGCAACTTGAGGCCATTGCCTCTTGTCCTATCACCAGTTACCTCAGAGAAGAGACCAACATCCCCCTCACTACGACTTCCTTTCAGGCAGTTAGCTTCGCACCTGATTTTGTGATGAGATGTAATATTTTGCCCTGTGTCCAGCTACAGGCAGCCAGCACAGAATTAGAAGGAACATCAACCCTCGTCCACCAGCGCACCATCTGGGCAATAATCGAAGACATTAAGAAAACTTCCCTCCTCCTGCAGTACCAAACACGAGTGACTTTCACCCTGCTCTGAAGCATCCCTTTAGGCCTGAGTTCAGCAAGTTGAGCTTGGCCTACTCACCAATTTCACTGTAACAAATAACCATCTAAAATTAGCCTCATGCTTAAACGCTTTGTCATGCTCAGGCTCTTGGATTAACTGCAGACTTAGTCTCTCCCAGCACTGCACTCGACAGCGAGCTCCTTCCCACTCCGTCCCCACCCATCTGAGTCTTCGGGGAATGTTGCCATCGATTTCCACGGGACACAAAAGAGTCCATATTGGAAGAACCCTGTTAAGGTTGCTAGGCGTAAATATTGACTTAACGGCTCTTCCGCCTTTTTTCTTTTTTAAGAACAGATTTGTTGGCCATGGCTGGAAAAATAAAATGATGGAGTATGCATGATTCACTCTGGCACTCACACAAACATGCAGATCAGTTGGCTGGCAGCTCGCTCCTCTGTTAGCAGAACATCGCTTCTAAAATGTGTCATTTTGTTTTGGCAGCAAGAGCGTCCAAGCCCACAGACAGAGAGATAAAATCTCCTACCTTCCATGTACTTCATGTGGGGACTGCTGACCTTCCCCAACACAGAACATTTGATTAATACTTCCAACAGCTTTTCAGGTGAGACACACAGAAGGACTGACAGGACGCTGCAATCCTTTCACATAAAAGCCCAGCCCAGAAACCTCCCTTCTTGCACCCACTCTCCTGGGTCTGCTGACAGGAGAAAGGATTGCAAAACTAACTGCAGGTAAAACTTTGTATTCGAAAGTCTTTTGAATAAAGGCTGTTTCATAGACAATAAATATTGAGACAGAAGATACTTAAGGTCATATGGGAAGTCAGCAGCAGAAGTGGGAGGCGAACCAAAGATTTTGGTCACTGGATTCATGCTTTCATCACCAGGTTCTACTTCCTATAGGACTCCATGCACAGACTTTTAAACTTGAATTTAAAAAACATTATTGAAAATACGACTTCAGCACACAACATCATCCAAACCCTTTTCCATATTGATTCTGCCAGATCTGGATGATTTGGCAGGACTGTCAGGGGGACAAACCTTCTCCAGGGCAGCCCAAGGGTACAAAATCAATGTGATACTTGTGTGTACCAGTCCTGGACAAGGACAGAACAATCTCTGACTGTCCCTAAGAACCTGCTTACCACACACAGGGGGATGAGCAGCTCATCTGAGAGCTGGCAGAGGCTACAGGGAGGATATTCAGACTCCACAGTAGACCCCTGTTTGACAGACAAGCAGGGGAGCTCAAGAAGAGTTGTACTTGGCAGATGTCTGCCAGAAAGCAAACACCTCATCAGAAGGAAGACAGAAATCTAATGATTGAACATAGGAGGAGAAAGTCCCGTGTCAGACAAGATCCTTCTCTAAAGGATCACAAGGGGTTTGCTTGCATTTCAGCTAGGCAGGGTGTGCTTTGGGATTTTTATCCCAGCAGAGTTTAAGCACCCCTCAAAGGCACGATGCAAATCCAGAAAGGGAGACCAGGATCAACACACGTGCATATTTATATTTGCTTTGCATCCATCCTTTGTGGCTCTACACCTTCCTCTCAGGGCAGAGGGACCAGTTCCCTCCACCAGGCATCCTCTGCGCTCTTCCCCTTCAGAAGTGGCAGCTGGGTGCATGGCTTGTTAAGACTGTGGCACCTCAAAGCCATGCAGGGCAGCCCAGGGCTCTGGCATCCTACCCACTAATTAGACAACACACAAACTAACCATCCCCACTCACTATTAAGCTACCAGAAACAAAAGCAAGGACACTTAGATACCTTTGGAGCTTAGCAACAGCTGCTCAGGATCCACTCCACCTCTCTCAAATCTATTTTTGCTGACAGCTTTTGAAGCAGAGAATTCATTGAACCGAGAAGCAGGTTGATATCCCCTCTCCTCAACTGTAGGCAGATCCAGTTTGTTATTTTCTAAGCGTTTCCTTGGTGGCACATACAAATTCAGTACTGTGTCTGCTAGCAAAGATGTCTATTTTCAGAATAAATACAATGACATGCAAAGTTTGTATTAGCAACAGTTAACTAGAAGGCATTAGGAGATAAAAAAACGAAAGATCTCTCTTAAGGCTCTAACATGCATAGGACAAGAGACCAAGTAGACCTAATTGTATGAAATTCAGGAATTTTCCACCCACTCACTCTCCTGCCCTTGCAGCTGGAATAGCACAGCCTGGGTGCTGCCTCCTGGTTTCTCAGGAAATTGTTTGCAGAGAACAGAAATGTTTCACAACACAAAAGCAAGAAACAGCCTCAATGATTTCTCTGCTCTATTAGCCCAGGTTCAAGGCTGATGCATGGCAATCCTTACTGCATACCAGTACTGCTGCTCTTACACCCACTCACAGGTATCAGGAGACAAACCCATACAAAGAAAGGCTGTTTCAAGCTGCCAGTTATTGGCCGTTATTACCTGGTTATGCAGATGGCAACGGTTGAGCTTTATGACAGATTCTCAATAACGCTACACAGCAAGCCAACATGACGAAGGCTTGTTCACATTGTACTGACCTGATACAGCCCCAGCAATGGGAAGGCGACTGCAACAAGTGTTTGTAGCTGTTTGGAGCCCCACTTTTGTCCCTCTACTCAAAAGGATCCCCTCTGCCTCATACTGAGATGGCTGAGTTTGCCCTTGAACCTGCTGCTTTGACTTAGGCTGTCTGAGCATTTAGTTCAGAAGTATTTAGTTAGTTCTAAAGATTTAGGGTCAGTTTTGTCACATGGTGCCCAGCTGATCAGCCATCAGCTTCTACATGACCAAGAGCTAGGGCATGAAGTCCCAGTGCAGTAGGAATCAGAGTGCCCCAGTCCAATGCAGGCTTCTGTATAATTGTACTACCTTGAATTCAATGAGAAGAGAAGGTACTGCTAGAAGTTTAAAACAAGTTACATGGACCAATCCTAAAGCAATCAATCTCTTTCCATTTCCTACAAAGAAAGTCAAGGGTGACGAGTTCAGATCCAAGTGTCTTCGGTCAGGTGAGATAAATCCCACCTTCTGGGCGTAAGATGAGGAAGAGGTAAGAATCAAGCTTCTAACGACTACACTGAATTCATAGCAGTCATCAGCATTTCTTATCCATGTATTCCAGCCACAGTCAGGAAAAAATACACACTGTGGACAACTTTGATAAAATAGAAGTTGCTCTGCAAAGGCACTTCCAGAAGTGGCAGACCTACCTCTCCACGGCACAGGTTACCACCATCTCCTATAACAAACAAATAGCATGCCATACTTTTAGAGCAATTAGTATATAAACTGTTTTAAGCACTTGGAAATAACAACCCTGGTCCTCCTCTCCTCAAAGTCAGAGACCCAACTGCTGACATTATTAGTGGATAAGGTCTTTTTAAGGCATCACTTTGCTCCAGCCTCACACCACTCCTTTTGCACTTTGAAGTCATCCGGCTGTATTAATACAAAAGAAAACCAGAGCATTTCTCAAAATTATTTCAACATCATTTGAACTCAGTTGATCTTGTCTGCCTGTGATGAGCTGTCAGTCCTATCAACAACCCGTCAGTCACACTTGTCAGTCACTGCTCCTGCTCCTTAAAAGCAGGAGTCTAATCGAAGAGAAGACGCAGAAATGAAGGCCTGATACTTACTTTCTCAGGACTGCAATTTCATTCTCTATGCTGCTTTCCTTTCCCTTCAGTGCCTTCTTGGGAATGCACTTGACTGCAAAGAGTTTCCCACTTGCTCTCTCTTCAGCCAAAACAACTTCGGAGAATGCACCCCTGAAAGAAGAAAATAAAAACCCCGGTTTTAATTGGTGCCTTTTCTTCAGATGTTAACTGAAACATAAGCATTGAATCTAGTTCTTCTAGTGTCTTTTGACAGTTGCTCTTGTTAATCACAGCAATGGCACTATGAGCATCTTTCTTTGCCTTTACAAACATATGCAGACATTCACACAAAACGTTAAAGGGTTACCAAATACAACAGTTTTAAAAAAGAACCATAGTCCAGCAGAGACGTGAGTGAAGCTTGAAAATCAGAAAGTATTTTCTGCACACATGGGCACGGATTGCAGTCCAGCTGCTGTTTTGATGGATGATGTACTTTTCCCCTTCCTAAGGTTTTTGGAGGTTTAATTCACAGAGCAGCACGAAGTCTCTGGGACTAAATGATGCACCAGTGCCAAGAGTGCTCCCAGTTCCCCAGTGACTGCAAGAGCTCAGGGCCTCTGCTTTGGTCTTCCCTGGCAGCCCAGAGCATTTCCTCACCACTGGCTCAACCCTGACTCAGACAGGGAAGCAGCATCAGAATTTCTCTGTGTACACAGAGTTATTCCACAGCACAAACTGCTGTGTGTAACCACTAAAGCCAAAGAATCAGATTAAACCACAAGTCCAAATGTCGGCCTTAATAGCAGTCGCCCTACGGTTACCCCAGAGAGGATTACACAAATAAAGAAGCTTCATCACTGCAGCCAGTCACTAATTGCCAAAAGTGGGCAGTGCCTCTCCTTCATTAGGTTATTCCATAAGAGTGTATTATTTCTTGCACTCTCATCGCTTCCTCCAAAGCATCTGGACCTTACAGGGGAGAAGCCAGGAAAGTGTTACAGTCGGTGCTATGTACACTTTCTTCTGTTCTCAGTGTTTCTGAGCATTTGAGCATCATTTGGACACTGCTGGTCTGGATGGACCTCTTTGCTCTGGCACCCTGGGGCCGCTCATATTCCAGTGCTTGTTGCTTGTTTTGTAGTGAGGTACTGGGCAAGACAGAGCATTGGCCTGATGAGGAACAGCAAGTCTTTGCCTCTGTTCACCAAAACCTCTCCCCAAAGCACCTGCTTTGTCCAAGACACCTCAGAGTCAAAGACTTGTCTAACAAGGTCACAACTGAAGGATCCATCAGCTGAAGGATCATATTTTATTTATACAAAATAAAAAGGGGCAGGACACTTCATTTTTTCCCCCCACGAATAGATTACTCTACTCTTCTACATAGCTCTGTGAAAGGAGCTCAGGAGCAGGCTGAGCAAACCCAACAACGCTCCAGCCCACTCTTAAAACATCAATGTTTGATCACAGTCTCATTTGGCTACCACCAACTTTCTTTAATTTTCGTTCCCCACAACTGTTGCTTACCTAGATGTTTGTGGATAAACAGAAGCGTTTCCTTTCCTGGCCAGGCTCTTCCTTTCTAAGTCATGCACTTTGATGACACAACCAAGCGGCTGTGACCTCACCAACGGTTCCCAAGTTGCAAAACAATGGAATGAATCATTAAGCCAGCGGATAAGTGGATAAGCAAAAGGAAGACGCTTCTGCTTTGGAAAGAAAATGTTTGTTTACCCAGAAACACTTCTGTAGCCTGCAGTGATAGGGAAACCGCGATGGGAAGTTTAGGAATGGATTAAAGAAGGCTTTTACAAACTGTTACGGTGGATGTTTGACAGCTTGCCTGCATGTGGCAGTGACCCTCTGAACCCAGAATGTTTTGCCTCGTTTTTGCCAAAAAGGACAGATTGACCACATTTTCATGACTAAGTACAGGAACGATTCACTGTTTTCTGCTTTGTGTGTAATCTACCACAGCATGTCAGAACACCAGGGGCTCCAGTTTAGAGTCCACACAACTGGTCCTAACAGCTTGCACAACGAAGAAATCAAGCCACCCAACGTGTTCTTAAAGACCTATTCTTTGCTTTCCTATCACAGACAGTCCTAGTCATTTGATTCACTAAACCAGGTTTTCATTTTGACCCTCATGCTTGGGACAGCCAGACCAGAACTGCAATAAAATCGTTTTACTGGAAAGCCCTAAAACCTCTCAGTGCTTATCAGCTTCAGTTGCAGACCAAGGTGCTGAGAAACTCACAAGACTGGTCCCAGCTACATTTCATGAACCCCTGAAGTCCCATCTGCTTAAGCTTTCAACACTGCACTTCACTCCAGCTGTGTCTTGAACAAGCTTTTTGCCTTCAGTTAAATGCCATTAAAAGCAGTATATTCTCACTGCTCGTTTACTGATCACACAGCTCTCCCAGTGTTTATGGTATTATAAAAACACGGAGAGCTCTCATCCCGATCTGGATTTCATTGCTATTCCAAGACAACAAACTAAAGGCAATCCCTTTATATCTCCCTACGCAATAAAGCCAGCTTTGGGAAACGCCTCTATTTCAGCTGGCTTCACTGTTTTGCTGGATTTTTTTCTTGATTTGCCAGGACAGCCACAGGGTTCAATGGTTGGAAATAGCCTCTGTGAATTTAAACGAAATTTTTCAGGAGCTCCGAGATACTCATAAAACCCAGTTCCATATCTCCTTAACAACCTTTCTCATTAAAGCATGAAATGAGCTGAGCCTCAGCGACAGTGTTCATTCACATGTCAACCCTTGGCACTGACAGGGCGTTTTTTTACATGGAGTTTTATATGAGGCATGGCATGAAATTGCTGGTGCTGGGAAGATCCCCCGGGCAATGGGGGGGGGAAGCGCTGGGGTGGATCTGCTGGGAAGGTACGAGGGAGATGCGAGGCGGTCTGCACTATCCTGTGCACTATACGTACTCCTGAGTTCATGGAGCAAAGGGGGTGGGAAACAAGCAACAAGGCAATGGACAAAAGAAACACAGTGAAGTGCCAGAAGGAAAGAGAGGGGGAGGAACAGATGCAAATAGGGTTCACAGAGTTAAACATAGACTGAGAGGAACCCACGGTATAGAACAAGAAGAAAAATTGTAGCAGGGAGCATCAGCAAGGAAAAGGCAGCAAAGACACTCCTGGATTCTGCTGGAGTCAGGGGAGAGTCAGAAAAAAATAGTGTATAGATGGGCAGGCAATTATCATAATTTCAAACACACAGCTGAATTCCTCCACCCTTAATGATCCAGTCCAGCCCCCGCTAAATCCCTCTTGACTCACGCATGAATAGATAAATACTAGAGAGAAACTCAGAAAGACAAGGCTGCTCATTTTCTTGCTAAAAGCAATATATGCTACAGCAAATTCTCCGCCTCCTCAAAAAAAGTTCCCCAGAACTACCGACTTGGCAGGCTTGCCAAAGAAGACTTTTTCTCCCAAAGAATTAATGTGCCCTTTAAAATGAAGACATTAATGAAGGAAGAAATTTATCTCTAAGAATTTATTACGAATCCTTTTTGAGGGTTCAAAACTGATTGTGTACAAAGCTCTTTAAAAACGTTTGGTTTTGGAAAATGTTGCATTTTGCATCACCAAAGTGACAGGACATGGTTTATATTAAGCATCATCAAGCAGTGTTACACGATTAAAAAAAAAACACAGAACAAAACGAAACAGAAGATGCTGGACAACCAGTATGCCAACATCTGCAGCTCAGACAGGGCTCTGGATTAAAACCTTTCCTCTCCCAGGAGGTACTGCAGGGTCTCTATAATGACATGATGTTCCCAAGACCTGCCATTTGCAACCCATATGCCAGTATCTCCATGGTCATAGCACCAAGCCAGAAAGAGACTCAGAAACCTCTCGGTGAATCTTGACTTTTGAATTATGAGGTTTTATCTGAAATTTTGTACATGGAAAAACACATTTTCTGTGAAGTACGCCAGCAAATGGGGGTTCAGTGAAATAACGTGGAAGGTGTTTACTCTGTGAAAATATTTGTGGAGTTTTATTCTCCTTTTCCCCAAAAATATGGTCCAAAAATTATTTTCACATTGTGATACAGATTTAAAAAAAAAAAAACAGACAAGAAGTTAATTGATTAAAAGCTGTGATTTTAAAGGTGCCCGCAATGACTGGGATGTCCCTTTCCCTTCAGCTGGGAAAGAGGTAATTGCAACCTTTCCAACATGCCTGGGCACCCAGCCTTCGTCTCTCCGAAGAGGGGCTTCAAACCCCTTCAGGAGCTTTCCTCGTCCTGCTTGGAGATTATAGCAAACAAACAAAAAAGCACCACAGTCTTGAGGAAGAAGGGCAGCGGTGGAAATGGGTAAACGAGAAACTTGTGCCAAATTAAACCACCTTTGGCCGCTGAAATAAGTATGTGGCAACTGAGCCTATTTCTGAAAGTTTTGACCATGTTATCATTTACCCTAGAGGATCAACTCTTTTCAAACTTCTAATCAAGGCATAGAATAATTTGATGATCTAGATCATTTTAATAGGAATTAGAAACAGCGTAGGAGAAAATAAGAGAGGTTACATGACTTGATGTGTCACATTGAGATAACGACAAATTCCAGAAGGTTTTTGAGACTCTTCACCCGTTTGCACTCTTCTGGACCATGCAGCATTCTATGAGATGTCAATCTTCTATACCTTTAATTTGTTTAAATTATTTCTCATCCAGTTATTTTCTCTAATCTAAATTTAAAGATTAGGATTTCAAGATTATCACTGGAATACGAACGGCATTCATACCAAACAGACTGGATTTTCTATTAGAAAACAACGGCTACAAGACTAGGCTATTCTGCAGATCAAAGCAAAGTAAAAGCCAAACTACGTTTTCCTTCATCTGTTTGAACTATAATTTAATATGAGCACTTAATTTCTGAAATACAATGAACAACATATACTATGACAGCAAATCTGTTCACATTCCTCAAAAAAAAATTGCTGTCACAAAAAATACTGGCAAAATGAAGACAAAGATTCGATGGAGGGATAAAACTTAATTTTTCCATTTGCAGAGACCTCCATGTTGAGCAGTTTTCCACTGCATTAGCAGGTGCTCTGTCATACTAAATCAACAGACATAGTCAGGAAACAGATTTCACTTCTTCGGGCTGTGTATAGC